CTTTCGCCTTTTTATCGCTTAATGAGACGCTATTTTTTTCGGCATTTTTCGCTGCACGAATGAATTCTAAAATCAATTAACGTTTGGCACAACAAATCGTTTTTCTGTCACACCACAACATCAAACAACAACAACGGAGAAATGAAATGCCACTTGAAAAACGAGACTCGAGACTCGAGACCCGAGACCCGAGAATTGAGAATTGGGAATCTCGGATCCGGGAATTCGGAGCTAATTGCTCGGTTTTTCTGGTGTTCTGGTTTTTTGATTTTCTGGCTTCTTGTTGTTCTTGTGCCGCCGCAGCCATGGTCCGTGTATTTTGCTAATTACTGTATCGGAAACAGATTTTCTTTCAGTTTTTTTGGGTCACTTGAGGGCCAAACAAATGGTATGAAATGTATTTGTCACAAACGTAATTTCATTGGAACTGTTTAGCATTTCTTTTGATATGTTTTGAATAATCAATTTTAATATGTACCAATAGTAATCAATTTTTACGGATTTATACTTGGAAAAGAAATTGAAAGAATTGTTTGGATATTTGGTTTTTAAATATTAATATTTTATGAGGGAAAGACATATAATGTATGTGTAAGTATGCAGATAGTTCAGTTGCCTAAAAAACCGAAAACAGATCAACAAAAAAAAAATTTTTATAATGAAAATAGTTAGACACTTTAAGACTACTTTTCGTTAAAATGAGAACGCTTATTTGTATGTAGTTAATGACAAAAATGTATGAACCTTTTTTATTATAATTATTAATCTTTTTTATATATATGCTGTTGATCTTTTTAAACCTCATAAAAAAAGCTTAAATAAAGTCTAACGTTGAAATACATGTTTTAAATTTAATTTTAATTTAATTGATCTTGCTAACAGTTTTGTAGCACTCAAAATCTCTTACCACTCTAAAATAAATCAAATTATATTAAATAAAACTACTACTACTACATTAAAACTATAAGTTGTTTACCTTCATTGGTTCTTAAAACTAAATATTTGCGACATACTTTTCTAAGAGTTACTGATACAGAAAGTTCCTGCGGTTTCAATTTCATACATAGCATTTATAAATCGCAAAATTCTTTTCCAAAGGTAAAACTGATTCATAAACTATTCGATAAACACAAGATTAACACTGAACCTTTGAATTACAAAATAGGTAAAAAATTGTTGGGGTGGAACACCCGATCCCCTGCAGCTGCACGGACTCACCTTCGATCTGCTTCATGGGACTCAGGCCGCCGGTCATGTAGGGCGATGTCCAGAAGTCGTTGGCGTAGCAGTTGTAATCCGGGAGGCTGGTGTCCAGGAACTGCATCGAGGTGGTCATCATGGCACTGGCGCACTCCGTGGGACCCATCAAGTGCGTCATCGCGAACTGGATCGACTCTATATATATGTATTTATATATATATATAGAGATATGTTTGGGTGGATATCTGGGGCTCACAGTAAAAAAAAGGAAATCACACTGAATTCTTGGCCCATTTATTCCGATTTGATTTGATATGTTTTGTTTTAGTTTCACTGTTTTGATCTCGAAACGTTTTTCGCGCAGTTGTCAAATTTGATTATTGCACCCAACACACTCTATCTCACTCACTCACTCACTGTGCACTGCAAAAAAAAAAAAAAACACAATTCTATCGCGAAGGGGTGTGAAAAATCACGGCAACCTTTCGCAGTTGTCAATCAGAATCGAGATCGAAATCGAAAAGCGAATCGAAAAGATAAATTAATTCCTATTTTCTTGGCTCGAATGTTTTTATGGCCCGATCGCGTTGACTGGCGAAAATTTCCTCGTTTTGCTTTTTTAGCTGATTGATTGACTTGAACTTCTTTTATTTGTTTTCTTTCTATTTCGCCTGGCAGAAAGCGTTGAGTTGTCTCAATTGCCACCTTCTTCCGGCCAAGTGCGAACTGATTATCCGTATATATAGTATATTGTGGTTACCGCACCGCACCAAACCGAACCGAACCGAACCGAAACGATCTGATTCCAATTTGGATTCTTATTCTTATTCTGATATTGGTTCTTATTATGTTTCTGTTTATGATTCTGATTCTGATCCGATCTCTGATCACGCACACATCCGTTCCGTCAAGCGTTTGTCCGCCGAATGAGAGTTCCCGTTTTCGTGGCAGCCGTACCACTCACTGCCTCTCGAGATCTTGAACATATCATCTCATCGCATCCCATACCATACCATACCATCCCAAATCCGTCCGCCAATCGCCGCCAGCAGTATCCAAATTTAGACTCGGTCCCCGATGCGATCGATCCACCAATGAACCAATGGCTGCGGCTGAGGCGTCTCCTCCTCTTCAGATCGGGTCGACATATGTGGCCTCTTCGAGGATCGCACAGCACTGGATGGGTGTATCTAAACAATATGCCTGGTAGGACTGAGAGTAGGGTGCAAAAGAGGCATTTACCAGATGGTGCATACAGTGAGACTACAGTTTCGGAAGATTTTTCGATTCAGATCCTTAGACGTTTTAATAATTTGTGTGGCATGCTTATTGGAGTTTTCAGAACTTGCAGGTTCCTTAATAGAAAACATGGATAAAACTGCAATATCAAATAACTTGTATGTTAGTATTATTTAAAGTAACTTTGAAAGCGGATAATTACATATAAACCTAGGGGTATAAATAAGCATTCAAATGTATAACAACCAAAATTTTATATGATATTTTTAAATTGGCTGTTTATTAATATATTTCCTATACATTTGCACCTTTTGTTGGTTCTTGTACAAAGAGAATTTAGCATTTCCTGAATAAAAAATATTAATAACCAATATACCCAGGTATTTTTTTAATATTATTAATAAGAGTAAGTTTAAGATTTGTTTTTTTAGATTTCCCAAAGGGCATAGTTCACTGTAGCCTCTTCTCGGCTTCTCATTTGCCTAATTTCAGTTTTTCCGTTTCAAAAATCCCTCTCGCTCTCTTCTTTTTTTTTTTGTTTTTGGCTGGGGCGTGGCCTTAGGCAATGGGCAGGAGGTCAGGGGGGTGGGTGGTGATCTCCGATCCCCATTTGGACTTTGTTTACTTCTTGCAGGGGGCGGTGGGCAGTGGGCGTGCCACGCCGAGTGGGTGGCTGACCTGAGTCATGCGCCTCATTTGGAAAACGCTTTTAATTGGACTGCGGCCACATGGAGGTGCTCATGCTGATGGCTTTCGTGGTGCCCATGCTGCACTGCAGCCGATGGTGCCGCTGCCAGTGGTCATAAATACAAATTGCGCCATAGCCTCGACACTAAATAAACCGTAAAGAGGAAAACGGAATATTAAGACAGTGGAAAGGCACACGGAAAATAAAATAAAACAACAAAATCTGGTTTTAAAAATTATTTATGCCTAATTGCTTAAATACTTTTAATTTAATTTAATAAGGAATTTTTGTCGTTCCCAAGGATTTAAAATAAATTTATACTTTGCTATTTCGCAGTTCCCATCCTAGGAAAAATGAAACTATAAACAGCCTTGCAGTTTTTAAAGATATTTCAATTTAAAAATTGAAAAATGTTATTATATTTTAAACTTCTGAAAATTTTTTTTTTAAATCTTTTGCCACAGAATTTCTACGTTTCTTACACATTGTTGAAATTAAAAAAAAGATTATGAGAATAGGAAATTTCAAAAATTTGTGAGGCTAAATAAATATTATAACTTTAAGATATTTGATAAAAAATATTTTATAATAACTACTTTATATAGTTTAAAATAGTTATAATTTTATTTTTCATCTTAGGTTTTTTACTTTATTTTTTTAAAACACCAAAAGTTTTATTATTTTGGCAATGAAAAACAATTGATCTATTTTCGCTCAGTGCAGGCGTGCGAGAGAGGCAGCAAGAGAGGGGGCCAACAAGAGAGAGCGAAAGAGAAGATGCGGCAGTAGAGCCCCATGAAAATGGCGTCTGTTGGCCATTAGAACCTGCGGAGAACTGGAGATCCGGGGAACCCAAGAAATGGAAGAACCGAATAAACCGAAAAACTGGACCGATCAAAGTGAACACCCCCAATTAGCCGGGGGCTTCTGCTTTCCATCAGCCACGGGCATTCAATTAGCGGTGTATGCTGGATGGTGGATGGTACCTGGTACATGGTACATGGTACCTGGACGGGTCTCCACCTGAACCGATTTGTTTACCTTCCTCGTATATATAAATCTACGCATCCAGTTGCGCCCAGGATTTATCCATTATCCATTTATGGAACTGCTTGTTATTGTTTTTCCTTGATTTTCGTGTTCGTGTTTCGTTTGGCCGCCACTGTTTACAATTATTTTGAGTTAAGTGGCTTCTTTCGTGAGTTTTTCGTTTATTTTTTGGCATTTTTCAGAACGCATCGTTACTATGCAGTCCATAAATAATTCATAAATTTGAAAAATTGTTATGGCATTGGCCATGCCATTAGTTGTTAATTATTTGTTTGAGTGTAAACAAAACGCAATTAATTGGTTACCGCTTAGGATAAATGATTTCAAATAATAAGTGCGAAGATCGACAAGAATTATACATTTTAATTGATTTGCACTCAGTAAAGATGTACTAAAACTATTTTTAAAACCAATTTATATTTAAACCAATTTGTGGTAAATATAATATATCCAAAGCTATTTTTTTATAATATTAATATACATGTTTTGTATTTAAAAGAAAAAAAATGGTATATATTAAAAATAAGTTTTCTTTCGCATAAACCGTTTGAAAAACCAATTTAAGTATAATAAAAATATATCCAAAGCTGCATTTTAAGAATACTTAAATATTTAACATTTAATTTAAAATCTTTTTTATAATTTAATTTTTATAATGAGGTTTTAAATAATAACATTTAAATATTACAAAATAAATATTAAGAATAGATAAAGAATTGAATACAAAAAACGCTAGGTAAAATGTTACTTAAATTAATTTAAATACCTGCTATTCAACTTAAGTATTAAAATAAATCCAATGTTGTGTTAAAAACGTATTTTGGATTTCGAGTAATCGAAGGTTTTATTGGTTTTATTGCAACGCAAATTTAGATTTCAAATTGTCGCTTGAAAAGGTGGTTGTAATGAATTTCGAACTGAAATGAGGAAACGCAGGAACTAAGGAAGTGTCTACTTCTTCTTGCGGTTCTTCTTGCCCTTCACCTTGGGCTTGGAAGACTTGGCTGGAGCCCTGGTCTCCGGCTTCGTTTGGGGCACCTTCAAGGGCTCAGGAAGTGGAGCAGCAAGGGGCACCAGTTCCTTTTCAATATGCTCATCTGCTGACTTCTGGCGGGGCTTGTTGAGAGTTATGAATCCTAGGAAATCGGTGGACGGTACTGTTAGGTCCTCGAGCGGCTCATCCTCATCCTCGTCCTGGGTGAGTGGGCTGTGGACGGGTTGGTGCATCTCACCAGCCAGCGCATCGCCATCGTGGAAACTGTCCGATTCATTGAGTAGTCCTCCTCCTCCAGTCTTGACCATCTGGTGATGCTTATCGGCCGTGGCAGTCACACCCTTTAGCTTCTGCTCCAACTGGTCCTGATCGCCATCCTTGTCGTCGACTTGACTGGGCGTCAGGACGACCGGCTGCCAGAAGAGATTCAGGGTGGACATCCGCCTGATGCCCACATTGTCGAGCACACACTTATTGGACAGGATGGTGCCCTTGTAGGACAGCCGACTGAAGCCCATGGGCACGGCCATGTTGCGACCAATCTGGGCCTTTAGTGAACCCACCGTCCCGAAACGGTCTGCCTCGTAGAGGCTCTTCTGTCCGTCCCGCGTCTGAATTAGGATCTGCATCTTCCGCATCTTGCTTCCGGATTGAAGGACTCCAACAACGTGTTTGTATCTCCGTATAACTCGTATATCTCGTTGCTCTGTCGCCTGAGCTCGGGTTCTTTGAGCTTCAGTCTGGTCAAGGAAAAGTTTGTATTTAATTCCCCCGTTGATCTGTCATATTGTAATGTTAATGCCAAATCGTGGCCTCCTGAAACACCATTTCCGCCATTTAACGATTTAATTTTATTTTATTTGAATATGATACAAAAATCAAATTTCTTTACTACAAAACTTAGTCCATTTTTGAACTCTTAGTTCAATATTAACAAGTAAATAATACTAAAATAAAAAAAGTATAAATATATAAGCCTAAGAAAAATACAAAATAAATAGTAAGCTTTATAATTGAGTAAGTAACAAAGGTATGTAAAATTTAAAATTTTGTTAAACAAAAATAAATAAATTCATCAAACTTAAGAGTCAATTAAACTACAATTATTTTTAGCAAGGCATGAATGGTGAATTAATAATTTCAGTTAAACAAATATAAAAGAAGCATTGGTGGAATAAACAAAAATAAATAATTTCATCATCAGTCAGTAAAACTAAAAATATTTTAGACAAGGTTTGAATGGGGAATTAAAATATAAAGGTTATAAAAATTAATTTCATTTTTACTATATTCTAATTTCTTACTTTGATTTTATTTAATTTTATTTTTTTTTTTTTTGGCCTTAGTTATATATATACTTTTTTTTTAATTGCCTACTAAAAAAATTAAAATGAAATATGACAATAAATTCAAGGGAAACAAATATAAATAAAATAAGCCTAAGAAATTAGAATAGAATGCAAAAACAAACCGTTTCTATTTCTTGTTTGAAATTTGTTGTATAATTTGTTGGCTTCCCTGGAAGTGAGAAGCATGCCCAAACTGATCTATTTCCGCACATCCAGTTCGATTTGAAATGGCCCCGGAAAAGCGAGCCGTGAAAAGTAATTGACAAACATTCGGAGGCGTCGACACATTTATGCACCCCTCATTGGCGGAGAGAGCTTCCGGTTTTGTTACTGCCTCTGGTTATGATTCTTGTTCTGGTTCTGGATTGAAATCGGTATTGGGATCGGCCTCTATATAGTGAGGAGGAATGGAGTGGAGTGGTGGAGGGGTAGGATGTCAACTGCAACTCGGGCCATCAAGTGCCGCCCGTTGACACCTCGTAAAAAGGCGAAAGCAAACAAAATGCTTGATCAATATTTGCCCTCCATTTCCATGCAGTTTTCATACTTATTTTTGTTCAAAGCAAGCCAAGTTTTTAATAAAAATATGAGAGATCCATAAAAATGCAGGAAGCTGCAGAAGCTCCTTTTTATTTAAAAAAAAAATAGTACAACGAAGCAGACTTGTAATTTATCAATTAAACAGTAATTTTATTTGGATCAAAATTTATTTTTACATTAGAAGCATTAACAAGATATTAAAGGTATTCTTTCCCCTCCTTAAAAATGGAATGAATATAGCTTCAATTTTATAACAATCAAAATCTATAATAACAAAAATGTTAATTCGTTTAATTTGAGTCTTTTTGAATGCCCTAAATTTCCATTTAATTTTTATATATATTACTGTTCGAAATAAACTAAGTTTGTTAAATACATCAGATAGTGGAAAACAGCAATAGAAAACAGTAATAGACTAATCCATGCTGTACATTTAACAATTATTAAATGTATTGATTTTAAAACCAGATATTTTTTTTAGCTTACCCAAAATATTTATGTTATTAAAGCCATTCTCTCTTTTATATAAAAAACTTCATAATGGCTTAAATTTTATTGTTATCTAAATCGAAAATAACAAAATTCGATATATTATTATTGTATCTTTATTTTTGTTCAAGGCTAAGACATAACGAAGACAGAGAGGTGTACAAAAAAAAAAGGGAATACTATAAACCGTTTATAATGCTGCTAAAAAAAGGTAGTTTAATGCTGAAGATGAAGCCTAGGAAGTTTTTCGAAGATGGAAGGATTGGATTGGCACTATTTAGAGCCTGAAGGCGGCGGCCAGGAGACCGGCGAGCATCAGGGACACGGAGAGGGTCAAATGGGCACCGGAGTCGCGGGCAATCGGGATGAGGGTGTCGTTGTACTTGAGGAAGTTGCAGCCGCGGCCTTCGCAGGTGAAGCAATTGCCCTCCTTCACGCACTGCTTGTTGGCCTGCGCCGAGGTGAGGCATCCGCGCTGGAAGGATCCGCTGGCGGTGCGGTTGCTGTTGCGGATGTAGCACTGGTCGCCGAACTTGTAGATCGGGCAGATCGAGGAGTGCCGGTACGTGTCGGTGGCGCACTCCGATTCCGTGGAGTTGCCCGAGCACTGGAGGCACTGCGCCCGGCTCTGCGGGAAATAGTTCCTGTTGCAGCCCTCGTTGTAGGTGCATAGCTGGCACACCAGCTCGTTGTTGCACGCGCTCTTGGTGGCGTTGTCCAGGTCCACAGCACATCCACGGATTGTGTAGCCATCTACAGGTGTCCGCAAATAATCAAAATAAATTCATTTTAATAATAAGTAACTTATTTTAGGTAGCAGAACAGAGTATACATATTAATAAGCTTTACATTTTTATTTTGTATTTGACCTTCGTAGACTTTATAAAATTCTTTGATTACAAAATTTATATTTGAGATAAGGTTACATTTTAATGGATGGTATATTTAAAGTATAAGCACACTAAAAAATTCAAAAAGTAGTTTAATTGCTACAATAAATATTCTTAGGCCGTTTTGGGTTATTGATATTTCTTTATTTCGAAAAACAACTAAAGAGTCAACTTTAAATTTGAATGCAATCTTTTAAAATATACATCTCATTATATTATTAATTTTTTACTAAAATAAAATCTATGAACATAGAATAGAATATGGAAATCGGTTTAGTTTGAAAAAAAAACTATTGTAAAATGAGTAATGGCTTAGTAAAATATTTTGGAGTACATTTATCAACGTATTACTTAGACTTGAGGAACATGAATCTGTTGTGTTTGAAATTGTAAACCAGAAAGGGATAATGGATAAAGGATAAAGGATAACTTACCCAGGACGCGGGAGTAGCAGTTGGAGGTGCCGTCGGAGCAGTTGCGGTTGAGCAGGCTCACCGGATCGGTGGCGCAGCGTTCGTTGGTCTTGGAGTTGCACTGGATGCAGCCATCTGCGAATTGAGCGAGGGGAACGGTGCGTTTCGATTGAGTTTCGGGCAGGCCTGATTAGATTAGATCATTATGGTTGTAACCTTTGCGTTGGCATCCAAAAATAAACCAAGGTGGGGCTTTGGTGCAAAGTCCTCTTCAAAACAGTGCAAAAACATGTCTATCTTTATCTCTATCTCTATCTGTTTGGTTTGAGTTTTTTCTTTTTAAACGTTCACCTGTTTTGTCATATTATCATGGGACACACTGTACCAACTGAGTGGAATTATCTCATTCACCCTGTTGCCACAATCGATTCTTATCGACCATGTGTACACATAGGCAACGAAATGAGTCAACAAACATACATACATTTTTGTGAATGCCGCGAATAAGATTAGAAAAGTCAATTTACAGTGCTGAAAACATCATTTAAGGTGCTCCAAGTTTGCACACAAATTATTATGAAATTATCATTATACATATGTGATTTACATATATACGTTTGTGCTAAGACTCATCTGTTTAATATAAATGTTCCAAATAATAAAAATTAATTATCAAAAAAATAAATGTGACAATTACGAATAAAAATAAACGATGATGATCATTTTGACTTCGCTTTAATAATCTATCTAATGTGTAAGTAGCTTTATGACAAACTGTATTTATAAATGTATAAATGCCTAACACAAAAGTGCATGCTTTTAAGCCCAGATTTATTTCTTCTATAAAGACGATTTCCTCTTGAATTCACGTAGCTTCGTTTTTATACAGATAAATTTGCATACATATTACCAGCAAAGAAAAATTCGAGAACTTTCTGCTATTGACAACAAGCCTGCATCATTGCACACATATATTATATTTCATCATAAAAAGAAATCAACCTACTGCTGACATATGGATACATTCTTTATATATACTATATATATCAAATTCTTCGCCGGCTGTAGACACACATACACACACATAAAAAAAAATTGTTGGGTAAGTTACAAAGCCTAGAACCTTTGACGTTTCTAGGGGAACTCGCCTGTTGATATCTAATCATGAACTTATTTTGGTGTCCATGAGACCACCGCTTATCACACCTTCTTATATAATGCACTCCAATAAATCGTTCGTTTCAAACAGGAAAAAAATGTAATCCCGATCGAAATCTGGAGGGAATTGAACAAGGAACCAAATTTACCACAACTGATGTAGGTCAGAAACGACAAGGCGGCGATCAGCAACATGTAGAACTTCATGACTGATTTGGATATGCGATATGGCAACGAATGTGTTAAATTCAATTACTAATTTCACGGCGATCGAAGAAGCGACGCGCAGTAAAGCTGAACAAAGACTGACGGGAGTAACTGAAGTTCGATTGGGGATTTAAAGCTGCCGGACTTACTGAGAAGAGATAAGGCCTCCGAGCAGCGGTGTTTGAATCGAACTGATAAAATGGGCCGAACACAAAGTTATGGCCAATGATTCACACGGCAAATAGTTGACTATTTTGTACACACTTTTTGAAGGCAAAAATGTTTGTCGTTTAGGCTGGCACACTTTGTGCCCTTTTGATTTGACTTTCGGGTGTTTTTGAAACAAATATCTTTGAGATATTGATATATATGGATTTTAGGCAATATAAGTATTTAAAACCTAAGCAGGAGAATCAAGGAGTCAAAAATTAAGTATTTAAAATATTAATAATTAAAAATAAAAGACCTTGAAACGGCAGCAATAGGCCAATTAAAATTTAAATATTCGCGCTTCTTTGAATACATTCCACTTTTCGCGATAGCTTATCGATAAGTGCTCCTTGCCAGGTCGCCAAAAAAGAACTATCTGGCAACACTATATGAGATTCTCGGCGAAAAATGTAACGGGCACACTAAAAAGAAGTAAAACAGATTTCACTAACTAATTGTCAAAACAAAGTAAATTTCGAGACAAATACGAGATAAACAAGGCGATGAACGACACGCCACGCACACCTGCCACTCCGGGCACACCCGGAACTCCCGGCAGCTTGGCCATGGAGGTGGCCCGCATCCAGAACTCCGCGCTGGCCGAATTCAAGAAGCCCACGGCAATGGTGCGCCCCAAGAACAAACCGAAGATCCTCACGGAGGAGAAGTACATCGAGGAGATGTCCAAGATCATCCAGCGCGACTTCTTCCCGGATCTGGAGCGGCTGCGGGCCCAGAACGATTACCTGGACGCGGAGTCGCGACGGGACTTTGTCCAAATGGCCGAGATTCGGGAGCGCTACAGTTTGGGCAGGATTCCCGGCACAGGAAGAAGCTCCAGCCGAAGGAACAATCAGCGGAATAATGGTGAGTACTACGCAGGATCGGGATCCACATTGCAGCATCAGTAGTGCTTCCAAAATACAAATTTCCCACAATTTATTGAGGCTGATCGATAGCTCTTTTTTTCCAAAAATATACACTTTATTCTTACTACTGGATTTAAAGAGGTGGTTTTGAACTCAATCTTCCCATATCCTAAACAAAAACGTCAACAATATTTCCTTACAGATTTCAAAGTCTGATGAAATTATTGAACAGGAAAAATGTGATATGTAAATCATGTTTAATGGTCAAATTCGGATCTTAAGCACAGTATTTAATTTAAATAAAGTGAATGCAGATGTATCGATAATTGCAAATGTTTAAAGAATTATACAAGTTATAAAGAACGCATTTGGAACACAGTATTTATTAAATATATATTCATATTCGAAAAACTATTATTTTTGGAAGAAACCCAGTTGGGTGTAATCCTTTTAATTATAACTAACACTAAAACACTACCTTCTCTCGTTTCAGCCATGTCCCCGGCCACATTTGAGACGCCAGTTAGCATGGCCAACGGCAGCAACACTCCGCTGCTCAATTCCCGGGCCACGGACACCCCCTTGTCCACTGCCAACTCCGAGAAGAGTGCCGCCGAGGGCGGGGACACCACATCGAAGCTCTCCCTGGACGCCTTCCTGCAGAACTACACGAGCGAGGATAACCAGAGCTTTCAGGAGATCATCGAAACGGCGGAAGCGAAGCTGCGCCAGAAGTACGCCGTGCTCTACAACCACGAAAAACTCTCGGCGGAGCAACTGCAGCGCGCCCTAATGCTGCCCAGCATAGAGAAGCAATTCGAGGAGCCGGATCCGTTGAGAAAAATCGAAACGTGGAACTACACCAACATGAACTCCATAATGTATGTGCCCGATGGCGTGGAGTACACGGAGGAGGAGCGTGTCCAGGCGGCAGAGCGCAAGCAGAGCATCCAGCACAATGCCACCAGGCTGCCGGATGAAGCCAAGCACCGGGACACGGAGGGTAAAAAGCCGGATGAAGTGTCAGTCAATGGGGCGGGTGAATCGACGGCCACGCCGAGAATACGAGGATTCGATCTGCTGCGTTCACCATCGCCGCGCCCCGGAGAAGCCTTCTCGCCCATCATGACCTGGGGCGAGATCGACGGCACACCCTTTCGCCTCGACGGTGGCGACACTCCACTGCGACCCACCCAGGGACCCTCGTTCCGCATCAACGAGAACTCCCGGCGCGAGAACATCGCCATCGCGCTGGCCGAGAAGGTCAGCGAGAAGATGCGAAATCAGAAGCAAATGGCCCTCGATACGGCGCGTCGGAACATTGGATCCCCGCTGATACGCACCAATATGGAGCGCCTGGCCAGCATGTCGCCGGCAGCCCAACTCTTGGCCACCGGGAAGCTGGGACTCCGCGGAACGCCCAGATCGTTGCACACACCATCGCCGCTGAGCGCCAGGAAGCGCAAGATAACGCCCGGCGTTGTGAGGAGCCACACTGGCAGCACTCCGCTGGGACCACCGAAACAGCAGTCGGAGTCGGGCAGGATCGGCACTCCGGCCAAGAGTTCCACCATCGACACGGGCTCCACGCTGACGGACGACCTGCTCAAGATACCCACAAAGCGACGCTCTGCAGCCGACTTCTTTTAGCGCATAAAGCGTGCCGTGTTCATGTTTAGTTTCAATTCAATACCTCATAATGTTAAAACCATATTATTTATGGCATTAAAATGTAGCTATTAAACCAAGCTGGAGTTTGTTTGCACAAAGATGTTGGTTCACAAAAGCAATTGATTCCTTAATGCTGATAAGAAAATCATGAATGCGAAATCATAAATGTAAACGCACATTTGTTATCAGTTGGAAGCTATTTCGAAACTTTATAGCAATCACTTTTGGCAGCCTTTGAATACTCTTTTTAAATCCCTTATCCCTTATTTGATTAACCTAAATATAACTCTTTTAATTTCCAACTTTTTTTTAAGATTCCTATTCAGAAAATTTAAAAATTTTGAATCTACCTTTAAACCCAGTGGACTCATTAAAAAGAAAACCATAAAGAAAAAAAAAATCATCTTTGTAAAAATAATGAATATACTTTTTTTTGTTTAATTATTTTTAACAAAAACACTCATACAAAGCTCATTTCAGGAGAAGAGACGAATCAATTAATGATTTATGGTCCTAAAAAAAAAAAAAAAAAAAAACGATATAATATCCCAAGTGATTCCATAAGCCATTGTAAAAGGGGATTTCTTTAGGAGATTAATAGAGACATTGAATGCTGTGTTATCTTTTAAATGTTTTAATACGAAAAACCCATAACCATACACATCACTCATTGGCTAAACCAACTAAAACTGCTCATCCCTGTAGTCGACGTGATCGCCGGACTTGAACTTGAGGGCCTCCAGGACCTTGATGAACCGCTCGGTGGTCTGGACGGTGGTCAGCATAGTGCGAGACTCCCTCTGCTCCCGGAACATGGCGGCCACGGCGGGATCGTGGGCCTCCCGCTGCACCTGCATGGTCATCTGGGTGTCAATCATGCCGGGCGCATAGTTGAGCACCAGAGTGTCCGAGCTGGAGGACAGGCCCTCCTCCGTGGCCAGCACCCGGAAGTACATCTCGCGGGCTGCCTTCACCGTGCAATAGTGAGCCATCGAGGAGATGGGCGCAATGGCAGCCAAAGTGCTGAGATTGACCACCAACTTTGGGATGTCCTGGAAGAGGCGCATGAACTCGCAATTCAGGGATATGGCGGAGAAGACATTGGTGTGATAGTATCGCTGCAGGTAGCTCGTGTCCCCGATCTCCTTGGCCCTCTTGGAGGTATCGCCCACGGTGCCGGCATTGTGGATGACAATGGCCCGCTCGAAGGTGTGTTGCCCCCGAGAATTCTCCAGAATTCGGGTGAAGTCCTCCGTTCTGGCCGTTTCCAGTTCCAGGGAGTAGGTATGCACGGCCAGCTTGGGTACTGTGGCCAGGATCTCTCCCTTTGTCTCCTCCAAAAGGGTATGATTGCGACCCAGGAGCGCCACCACGGATCCCTCCGATTGGATCCGTTTCGCCAGCTGCTGGGCAAACTCACGGCCAATTCCTCGAGAGGCTCCGGTCACCAGGAGGTATGTGCGTTGCTTTAGGTCCATTGTTGCAGCGTAAACCACACTAAATTACTTTCTATTTAATTTACAAACTCCACAGCGGCAACAGTTGGCTGCCTTTTTTTTTAATTCGCTTTGGATTTTACCTGATTTGCCAGCTTTTTCACAGCTGACTAAAGCTCATTATTTTATGTCCAGGAGCGTAAGCAGGAACTATTTTCAGGGGACACTTCAAAACTATAAATTTTTGGGGTTGAACATAATATCTTTATTTTAATTTTCAGCAAGTATTTTTTTGCTTTGAAATCAATTTGAAAAGTACAAAAAAAACAACAGAAAATTACATTTTAATTTCAAAACTAAAAAAAAATTGTTTCTAAAACTTGAATAATTAAGGAGGTTTTTCTAACACAACATTGTTTGGTTGCAAAACTTTCTACAAACGTTTTTCCTTAATATATAAAAACAATATTTTTAGTACATTTTTTGGTTTGTAAATTCATAAAAACCAACCAAAACCAAATTTTAAATTAGGAATTGGAAATGAGAATATGTGGACCTAATATGTTGGGGGGATATACGTAGGTTGTAACCCCCATATTGCCGCCCCTGTATTTTGCTCTCTGACAGCCCATCAATGCTCTCGTTTCTCTCAGGCTTTAAGCTCTACTTGAAGTGGAAAGGTTATCGCCGGCTCTTGCTTAACGATTTAATTTAATTAATTGCCTATGTTTTATTAATTGCATCGTTTAAGTCGGCATAATGTATCAAAAATTACGGGATTTATCGTAATACGCAAGTTATGAGGTGGAATGCATGAAATCAACGCGACAAATTTAATGTCAAGGTCGGCAACCCAAAAGAGTTGAGATTGAGATTCTCCTAATCTTCTCTCGAAAGCTCCACAACTTTAAAGTAAAGTTAAAGCTCCATCGTTTAATCGTCACTAAAATTAAAATTTTTATTTTCCACACCCCTGAACAACTTTAAACAATAGTTTATAAAATAAAGCGAGTTATAAATTTTTATTTTTAGTCGATTCTTTAAATTGCTTTGCAAAGAAAACCTGACTTGTTTAAAATACTTAAGTAAATCATGTTTCCTAACCTAATCTTTATATCCAAGGTTTAACAATGAAAACATATTGATTAGAGAGTTTTGCAACATTGTACGGAAATTCAATTACAATATTATTACTTCGATTAGGAAAGCTTCGCAATATTGTATGCAACAGACAGCTTTGGAAATGTAAATAAAACTGGAATTAGTTTTCCTATTCATGCATTGAACAGGAATACCCAAAAGTATGCCTTGAATATGAGCTTACACAAAATAATTTGAAAAAAAAAAAAAACTAAGAAATGTATTTAAAACAATTCGTATGGTATTCGTAGACAAATAAAGTCAAAACAAGTTCAAAAAAAATTTAATCTTTTAAAAAAAAACAAAAAAATATTTATTTTAGCAAAAATCCTAAGTAAATTTTAGTAGTAACTGTACATATTGCCTATAAAACAACCTAAATAAAAAAAACAGTGAAATCCCGGATCCAAACGCAGCCCATATACATGCATATATTTTGAATACTTTTCCGATTCCGATTCTGACCCGGCAACAACGCAAATCTTTATATGAACACGTGTCTTCCGTAGAATTCGATCGGTGGATTCCCTTATCACTAAGGCGTCGGGCTCTGTCTCAGATTGTTTTGCTATATACGTTATGCGTAATATATATGTACATATATATATATATATATATTTTGCATATATGTATATATATTCCCATTGCTGATTCATAATCGCAACGCTGTTGGGTTATTGATCTTTTAATTAATTCTATCTACATATCTATATTTCGCAAAAATATCTGTATGTATTAGATGTATATATATAGTCAATATCGGTTTACAGTAGTTCTTAAAAAAGGATTTCAATATCATTAAAACATGTGGCTTGTGTTTTTCAAATCAGGGTTGTTGTTCAGTAAAATGCATTAAATTTAAATAATCTATTTAATTAATCTTATATTTTGACAAAAACAATTTAAAAGGGGGTTTGACTAACTTAAAAGTGTTATAAATTTCAACTTGCTGGAATAATGACCAATTTACAGCCTCTTTTTTTGTATACCTTATAAATTTCTTTAATAAAACTATGTTTTCAATTGGGGAAATATTGTAACTATTTAAAAAATTTTATATATTAAAAGAAAATTAATTTGTGCCCTCTATGGAATATTGATCAAACTACAGCCTCTTTTATATTAATATATTATCTATATTAAACTCTGCTATTATTCAATTACAAAAAAAAGTCTAAATTTCATTTTTAAACTAGCAGTTTCAGAAGCTACTTAAAGAACTCTTGTGCCCTAAAACAAAGACTTTAAATCTATGAAATCATCTATGAGAAATCAGAAAAATCTTGCTATAATTCCCAATTGAATCTAGATTAAAAAAACAAAAAAAGGAATGAGAAGAATCTCCCCGAACCAATTGACCAAAATGAAAAAATAGTTTTAGTTTCGTTTTCCTGTTCGTGTGCTTGGTTTTCGTGCACTTGCAGGTTTAAATTGAGGGTCGTCAGCCAGAGTTTATTCATTTCCAAGGCAATCAAATAAAAAACAGTATCCAAATCGGGGGCCAAAAACAGAACCGAGTCCATTGGAGACACAGCCCACCGCCACGGTGCTACTCATAAGACGAAGGTGTCGTAGTAGTCGACGTCGTGGCCGGACACGAAGGAGATCTCCTCGAGGATGTTGATCAGCTTGAGGGTGGCCTGGCTGGGCTGGATCCTGGGCAGCTGGAGCAGCTGCTTCGAGGCGATCAGCTCGGCGGGAGTGATCTCGTTTCCGTTCATATCGCACTGACCCCGGTGGCTGGCCATCAGTCCGGGTGAGAAGCTGAGCACATGGACGCCGAAACGATGCTCCTCGGCGGCCATGGCCCGGAAGTACATGTCCCTGGCCCGCTTGCAGGAGCAGAGTAAGCCGGCATGGACCAGTGGACGCACCATCAGGGAGGAGGTCACATTCACCGCCAGCTTCTCCACCTTCGCCAAATACGTCGACTGCAGCCACCTTTGGCTAAGGGCCACCGGTGCGTAGAGCTGCTGCTGGACATACTCCTTCCAATCCTCGGTGCTCTGGGGTTCCAAGAGCACATGTGTGGCCGCCAGCCCCTCGTTATGCAGCATTATAGATCGCTCGAATCGCTGGTTGTCCCCCTCAACTTTGAAATGGTCCTTCAAAGCCTGCTCCATCAGCTGCACGCCATTCGAATGGCTGTCGTTCAACTTGCCGGTCCTCACTTTAATGGTTTCGGTTTTAAGCTCACTCTGGAGCAGATCCTCCAGCTCACGCAGCTGCTGCTGATCCTCGTCCAAGATCAGGGCCACGGATCCGGTGGCCAAGCGACGGCAAAACTCCAGGGCCAGGGATTGACCCAAAGGATTCGAGCTGCCGCTCAGCACCAAAAAGGTGCGCTTATTTAAATCCATTCTCTTTGCTGCCATTGTTTTGTGAAAGGATTCTTTTAAGGGATACTCTGGAGGTCAGGACACGACTGCAAGAACTTTTGCGAGAACACTTGCGATCACTTGGGGCTGTACGACTGTACTGTTGCCGAAATTTCAGCGTGCTTCGCCAACTGGACTCTGTTTCTCCGTTGATAAGGCAGCTCGCTTCCGATGGGCCAAGTATATATGTATATGTACTAGACTGAGCACAACCTGGCTTCCGATTACGTATATAGACGCGCTCTGGGTTGGTGGGGATGTCAGCTTGGGGCTTTTATACAACCCAACCGGCTGATAAGACCGGGATCAGCCGTCTGGGCTTGTTGCCGAGCCATAAACCGTTTGTAATGGGTTTTCGGCAAACCAAACCAGAACCACGTCGGTTAAAATCTGGAGTGGAGTCCCACCATTACAAAAAAATCTGGTAAATATTAAGGGGTATTATTTTGCAACATTCATTAATTCAATATATCCATAAGCATTAATTTCTAATAATGTCGGCTTTATATATTTACATCAAAATCGTTGAGAATAGTTTCTATATTTTACAACACAACTTTGCCAACTAATTTTAAATTCGGCTTTTATTGTGCATATCATAGGATAAACCCAACTAAATGCCTTTAATTTCAATATATCCATAAGCATAAATTTTCATGTTGTGTAGAAATTAATTTCTTAAATATAAATAAATATTTATTAAAACAAAAATTTGCTCTCTTGTTTAATATATGTACATGTTTTTAATGCAGTTTAAGACAATTTTTAAATTTTATAAATACTTCGAGAAAAAAGTATTATTTTAAATACATTGTACATTAGTTTCTGATCAATTGTTGGATGATTTGGATTTTCCCAAGCCCCTCCTGAGTTTGCCACTGTTTCCCATGAGCACAAAAGCTGATCGATTGTCATCTTGGGGTTTAGGAAGTTCTTCTGATATGGCGGTAAGTCAAGGTTGCTGCTTTTTAGTGGGAAAGATTAACCATAGATTTTTGTAAACAAATGAGTTGGCAACGGGAAATAGTACAGCACAATCAGACGGATTATAGTAATATTTAAAGACAATTAGAACTATAAAACAATAATGATAAATGAGCAATAAAAATTACTAATTTATTTTATAAATCCCAGCTGCTACATAGCTTTATATTTTTTTGAAAATATTTTTTGAAGTTCGAATGCTAACAATTTAAGCATAACTGTAGACTTGTAATGTATATAACTGAACTGGTTATCACATTCATTCAGTGAATTTCCAAAAACAAATGTATATTTACAATTGCATAATATTGCTTATATATATTACTGATTGCTATAAATTTTGCAATGGTTAGGAATCGATTAGTGTGACACGTGTGAGTTCAGGGAAATGTCGTAATTAAACATCAGTTAAATCGCATGTCCAAAGATACTGCCAAACACGTGTTTATTTTGAAATGACATGTGTTTTAATGTGAGGAATGTATTTCGATATGCCCAAATACCGACCATTAGCGATCAGAAATGAAGTGATCTATGATAGACAGTGTTTTCTCCCAGTTTTTCTTTTTTGTTTTGATTTAAAACAGGCGCCAATAACAAACGCTAATTAGGTTAATGGCCTAATTTTGAATCTGTGAAGTCTGCTCCCGATTCCCGGGTCGCCTCGAGATGACGCTGACCCATTTAGAAATCGGGAACGCACTTCTAATCGCAGTTTTAATAACACAGTTCAAAATCCCAAATTGAATTTTCTGGAAATAAATATAAGGTGAAATGTTTATGGTCTAACAAAAAATAATTAACTCATTTGCCTGTTACTTATAGATGTTATAAGACATATAGAAGAAAACCCTAACATTAGAGCAATATATAAAAATATACCGCGTTGTTGTTACAAAATTCGGGTTCCGTGATCTTGATAACTGCCAGTCTTGAATGACTGGAATATTTTGGGCCCAAGAAGTTCGTATTATTCTGCTTAGTACCTTAGTACTTCATTGTATCGTATCGCCAAAAGTTCGTGGAATTCACCAGTGACCAGAGAATAACACATCACATCAGTCAATTTAGGGGTATTATCAATACCAAGTGAGGTTTTCAGGCCGAAGCACGTAGCAGTGCAGCTTTAGTGGGCGGAATGATGGGTGCTTTAGGGAAAGTTTTCTTGGAGGAGACTGAACCCCTGAACTCCTGACCCTGTCCTTCAATCAAGGTCGTTCAACGAGAAAGTGACCCCAAGATCCCAAGAAGATTTCATTTAGCGCGAATAGTGAGCAAAGATTTCATTCACCTCCAAACGAAATCGAGAGCAACAGCTGCAAAAAACTAATGCATGGTTTTCTGAGCACAGCTTTTGGAGATCTTCTCGGTTTTATCACGGTTATAAAAGCCGTGTGGACCGCTCCCACAGTCAGTGCAAACTTTTAACGAGCCCAGAACAGAGTAGTGAGCCACACAGATCCGATAAGAATATTACCAAAATGCTGGCCTGCAAGCTTCTTCTCTGTCTGGTGATGGGAATGCACTGCATTCAAGTGGTAAGAAAGAGAACATAAATTCATATTAAATGAGTGCAAGTGAACGTGCAAGTGCGTGAGAGTGAAAGAGCCAACAAGTGCATGTATTAGAAAGGGACAAAGGAAGCTTTTAAATGGCTTTTAGAACACTGTTTAGTACGGTGGCAAAAACAATGCTGAATGCTTTTTTAAGAGTTAAACAAAACTGTTTATGAAAGTGGCTAGATAGGATACAAATAAAATATTTACTAAAAATATTTAAGGACCAAAATAAATTTTCGAATCGTTAAGAAAAGTGTTGGAAATTCCTGTAACGGGATATTAGGGCTAAGAGTTGTTCAAGTTCGACTTAAAAATATAGAAACTAGAAAACAAATTATAATATAGATTTGAGTTAGGGAAGGTTAACTTTATATCCTGAACAACTGTAAAAAGTGTTGTGTGTAAAATAAAAGTGTTAAACACGTTTTAAAGTAGTCCTCTTGATCTTACAGCTAATGGCGGCCTGCGTGTGCTCCGAGAAGGGAACGGACTACTGCCAGAGCTGCCAGGGATCCACGGTGATCCGGCCGAAGCCCCGATACTACGAGCCCACTGACGTGAACCTCCCGCCGATCGGAGACAACTGCTGGTGCAGCAAGCAGCTGATCGAGCCGGCCCAGCTACCCAAGACCTGCGGCAAAGTACGTGAGCTGTTCCAGTACATGAGCGCCTTCAACAACCTCTTGGGCCGTCGGATGCTCGAGGGCGCCATCGAAGCCAAGTCGCTGGCGGCACAGCGTCTGGCCGAACGGTTGCAGCGTCTGGAGCGGATCGACTGCTTCAAGAGGGGCCCCTCCGGCCATCGCTATCAGCTATAACCACCCATGACTAATCCGCATGAACAACCATTCCCATATCCACCTATAACCAGTAATGCCTACCCAATTTGTAACTTAACTAAAAACAGAAGAATCAGTGATTTTTAACTTGACTTTCTAGACATATTCAAATATTTAGTTTTAAATTCCTGTCTTGTATTGAAAAATGCCCAATGTTTTATTCCCCTTAATAACTTGATTATTTGATTAAGGAATTTTTCTTATAGAACTAGTTTTTTTAATTACTATTACATGTTAAACACCATTTATATTTTATATTTTTTAATTTCTTGTTAAATATGGAAATTCAATTTTGTACATTAAATACGCAGTTTAACATGACCCAGTTTGAATATTCTCCAAAAGCTTAAAAACACCATGTTAAGATTTTAATGATTTTAAAAACATTTGTATTGTTTAATATGATATTTAAATTTAATAATGTGCTTCTATTAGTTACTATACACTATCGAGTAATTTAAATGACCAAGCTTTTAAAATTAAGCAAAAGCAAGAAATAAGTTATTTTGTAACTTTTTTAACCAGGCACACCACCTAATCTATGTTGAAAAGTATGACCTCTACCTTATCATAACTTAAACTATCGTAAATTACCGTATCATAAGAAGTAGCATTAGTTTCGACAGTTGTAATCAGCAACCCAGTGGCAGTGGCATTCATCCATCGTCATCCCCCTCAGCTGCAGTAACAATTTCCGCATCGGGCGGCATTATCAATACACCGCCCCAACTTTGCGTCACCACAACATCAGTCCACAGCATCGTCATCCACATATATATATGCCGTATACCATATACCATATACCATATACCGTATACCGCCTCATCAAATATATCGCCGCGTACGTGCTGCCTTAACTAAGAGCTATGCGGAGCGATAGAACCCATTTAGATACCTCCCAACGATATCCGAAACCACAACCATAACCGAAACCGAAACTGAACTCTCTCGATTTGATCACTCCACACAGACCACGCCGTGTAAGCCCACCTGTTCGTGCCAGCAGGGCTACTCCTCCGACAGCAGCTACGCCTCCTCGTCCAGCTCCGGATCCGTCTACGGAAAGTGAGTTAACAAAATGCCCTAAAATACCAACAAATTCCATTAACTCGGAACATGTAAACAGAAACTAAAATCGAGCCAATCTCTTTCAGAATCGACTATGCGCCGGAGAAGAAGGTGGACAATAGTCCGGCTGCAGATCCCATTAGCGTGAGTCTGGCCGCCCAGGCTGGAAAGGCCATCAATGTGCCCGAGTACAAGTTGGCCTACGGATTCGCCCAGAAGCCCGTCGATGGCGAGAAGAAGGTGGTCTTCTCCAATGTGCCCGAGGAGAATCTCTTCAAGCTGAAGAGCGACGTGATCACACTGAAGAAGCCCACCTATGTGGCCAAGCAGCAGGAGGACGAGGAGGAGGAGTATGCCGAGGAGGAGCAGGAGCAGTCCTCCGACGACGAGGAGGCCCCCCAGCTCACCTACAAGCAGCTGGGCTACGTCACCGAGCAGTACAAGAACCCCAAGTTCAAGAGGATCAGCAGTTACAGCTCCAGTTATGCCTACAAGGACTCCAAGGACTATAGCGATGGCTATGGCAAGGTGGCCGGCAAGGTGTCCGTGGACTGCGGCTTCAAGCCCGGCAGGATCACCTCCTACCGGAAGGCCAAACGCGAGGACTCCGCAGAGGGCTCCTACTAAACCCATCCCATCCAATGCCAATCCTTCCTTTTGTAAATATGTACATACGCTAGGGAATGATTGGATGTCTGTCTAAGTTAGTTTTAAAAATAAAAAGTACATAAGCAAGTCCATTTTCTTATACATTTATTTTATAAAGGGAGAAAACTTAAAAAATTTCAATTTAATAGCAGTAAATTAAATAAGACTTTGTTTTCAAAACATAAACTTTCATTCAACCCATCGCTTGTGTAAAACTATTTCTGAACTCACAATTACCCAAACGATTTGTAAATGACCATTAAGAAAATGGTAATTTATTTGTTGATTGCCGCATTTGTGTAATCAAAGCACTTTGACACGTCTTAATTGTCGCAAAAGTGGCTTAAAGTGCTGACATGAAAATTAGATGGGAGGTAATTTACACAAAAAAAAAAAAGAATAGACAAAAAAATAAAACAAAGAAACTAAAATGTTTTAAAACTGACTTACAGCTTTACAAAGAATCTCCCATCATTTTAAAATATTCCCACGAAACACTTATTTATGAGCTACATGATTACAGTAAAAACATATCTGTTATGAACCATAACTTTTCACTCAGCAACTATTTTATAACACCTAAAAGGTAAGAAAACTATTTCTCATCGGGTTTATTACAAAACTACGTTCCAAATAAACACACGTTATTAACACAATGTACAAATATATTTGAACAAAAACCTGCCTGTACATTTTTTAACCAAAAACTCCCTGTATATTTTTGAAAGACAATTTAAAAACAAAATTTATATTCTCTCTCTAGGGAAATTGGAATTGCTGGCAACTGGTGGCGAAGTTTCACTGTGCAGAATTCTAAATTTAAAGCTTGGATGTTGACTTTTCGCGACAATCGACACTGAAGAAAGCGGCGAACGCCGGGAACATGACTTTTGACGGAAAACATGACCCGCCAACTATTTGAAAAGGTCAGCGAAAACAAAAACAAACACAAACAGTGTGGTCGGCCGGCGTCTCTGGGGAAGAAGACCTTGCCCAAAGTCAAGTGCATTGGGCTCCGAGCTGGGCGAGATGATATAAAGAATGCGGCTGTGCACTCTGTGGCTAGTAGCCAGTTAGGCAGATAACCGAGAAGATCTAACCGAGATGCGACACTTGAACGCTATGATAGCCCCGAAAGCACCGTTTCTGGGCCTGCTACTCGCACTCGTGGCGCTGGTCCACTCCGCTCCCGTGGAGGTCGTCTACACGGGCGAGAGCTGCGCCTGTCCCACCCAGTTGGGCTACCAACTGAACGTGCCCAATCCCCCCAAGCAAAAGAAGTATGCGGGCGCCGAGTACGGCTATCGGGTGGAGAAGCCCGTCCAGACCAAGGCCAAGATCAGCTATAGCTTCGACTTCACCGTGGAGCAGCCCAGGACACCGGCACCGCCCAAGACCAATCCCTCCAAGCTGTACGCCAAGGTGGACCGGATCACAGTCAACAAGGCGGGTAAGTGCAAAAATCTCGTCCTTAAACGCAAGACCTCCCTTAGACGGACAACTTTCTCTCTCTTAAGCGGACAGCGTCCTTTGACCGTATTTTTAAGTATTCAATTATTTGTTCATCAAATTTTAAAATAAATTGCTAGTACAAAAGTTTATAATTTGCCAAAACTTCGTTAAGCGGACAGCTCTCCCTTAAGCGGGCTTCTGTTTTGATGTATAAATACTTTTGACAAATTACAAATTTTTAGTCTTTTGTTTTTTAGATACATATTAAAGTGTTTTCAACACATTAAACTCCTACAATCAAAATATACATTAAACTTTAAACATAAGATCACAAAAAAATTTAATTTTTCATAATATTTATTCCTTTGACATATTAAATCCAATTTTTTTGGTGGCATCTTGAATATAAATAAGTCAGAAAATAATTTACATTTTTGCTATCAATGGTTTCGTGTTATTTATTTGATTGAAATTTTATTGAAATCTTGTAAATGAAATTGTTTTGTGGTTTCAAAATTTTTTTTTAAATATTTCTATATCTTGAACAAATTTCACCACATATTTGTATTTTTTATTTTTATTTTAGATTGCCAGGCCAAGAACAAGTCAACCTGCAGCTGCTCGAGTTGCGCCAGCCAAAAGCCCAGGTACGTAGCTCCACCGGTCAGGTCGCCCAACGCCATCCGTCGTCGCCGGGACATCCGGCCACCGGGATCGCTGCTCCGCCGGCGGCTCATGCGCCAGCAGCAGCTCCAGGAGCGTCCGCCACGCTATGTGAAGCTGTACAGCAAGGACCTGACTCCCGTCCAGCAGAAGCAGCAGCAGCAGCAGCAGCAGCAGCATCTCAAGCTTTTCGGCCTGATTCCGGTGGAACCCGCACAGCCAGTGGCCGCCGCACCCAAGACGAAGAGGAAGACGAAGAAAAGCCAGCCGAGCTGGATGGGATTGGGTCGCCGATTGCACAAGCGCGACATCAAGGGGGAGTACGATCTGCTCGAGCAAGAACGCTCCCAAATGGACCTCACTGCGCCGGAGATAATCCAGTATATGCCGGAGACCCTGAATCCGGACTTTAAGCCCGGTCAGTGCCACATGGGCTGTGGAGCAATGACAGCGGCGGCACCACCGCCAGAGGAGCCCCAGCCAAAGGAGGAGCAAGTGCCTCCTCAGACTGGACAACCGGAGCACGCGGAACCGTTGGAGCATCAGAACACGATTCCGGCCAAGCGGGCCGCCGCCTTTGGCTACTATCCCGTGCAGATTCCATCGCCGCTGAGTCGTCCGGAGGACTACAAATTCGTGGATGACTCGCAGCTGAGCAGCCTACTGTCCACCACTTCCGTCCCAGATCCGCTGGAGTACAGCTCCACGCCGCTGCAGTTTGCCGGCGATCTGGAATCGGTCACGAGAAGATCCTATGGCGGTGCCTCACTTTTGGGTCTCGGCGGTGGCTATCCCGTGGAGCATGTCACCGACTCCCAGCTGGACAGCATCATCTCGGGCATTGTGTACAATCATCCGGCCTACGATCATCCCCACCATCATTACCACTCCACAGAGGGCACCCTGGTGGATCCGGAGCCGGTGCAAAAGCAGCAGACCACGGATTTCCTCAAGAAACTAATCGATGGCCGCCTGGGCGGCTGGGGATTCGATCAGGCCTCGGAACCGGAACAAAGTCTGCACGAGGATTACGCCAGACAACCGGCCAAGACATATGGCTACAATAGCCACACCCAGAATGGCTACAGTGTGGACACCTACAGTGCGCCACCAATCACGGACTATCTGAGGGCCTGGTTCTAGAAGTCCCACGCAAAAAAAAAAAACCTATCTTTTAGCGTTAGCTTTACTTTGAAAACCGAACACGAAAACGATCATAACCAAAAACACAAAAAAACAGAATATAATAAATTGAAAAAACATTGTGGTGTTTCTTTCTTCATTCACTCCATTCACAGTCTTCGTCTTTCTTCTCTTTGCAGCTGCAGCGAAGACGCGGGCTACGGCTACTGAAGAGAGGTCTTATAAAGAGGTCTTCCAAACCGAAACGTAAAAAAAAAAAAAAAAAAAAATACCAACCCAACCCAAACCAAGCCAACCCATCGATCTGCTGAGCTCGGCTTAAAATCCAGCCAAAAGTAGGCCAGTGGGTCTTGTATATATATATATATATATATACTATAGCTTCCACCGCCGATTCCAACCTCCGATTTCTGTTTACGTCTACCGCTTTTGTCGGCACCTCAAGAAGTTGCCCCATTTAACTGGTTAATAAAGTGTTTGCTTGATTAAAAATGCTCGATTCGATGCTTCTTGGGTTCCCAATGGTGCAGATTTTTAACTAAGGTCTTGATTTCTATGAGACTATATGATACCCCTAAAAGTAGACCCCGATTTTTATGGTATTTCAGTATTTATAAATTGATAAGGTACTATTATTCATGTTAAAGGATTACAAATGTTGCTCGCAGATTAAAATAATTAATAATTAAAAAGACTATAAATAACAAGATTTTTATCTGCTACTTTAAATCTTTATATCTTAAAAAAGTTTAACAAAAATAAATAATTTATTGAAATTATTATTAAAACTTAAATTCATTGTAAACAAAAAAATATCCAGTCAGTGGAAAATAATCACTGAAATCCACATGTATTTAAATTTAATCAAAGTGTGTTTTGAAATAAGCAAAACAAGAAAACACCTTTTTTTCTAGCATTTAGCTTAAGATAACTGTATTCAAATGAATACTAGTAAAAATAAAAGAGTGTACGCCACGCTATACCCACATTTATCACGATCTGTCAATGGCTGAATATTTGTTGTTCTATATGAACAAATCGTTCATCATTCACCGTCAAAAATTCTTGCGATCGCATACCATTGAAAAGCAGAGAGATAGTCGTAGATACATTACCAAAAGTGGCAAAAAACGCCCTAAACTTCGTGACCACAAGAGCAAAACATTTCTAGACGAGTTCGCAAAACTCGTGAACAACTTGGGAAGTAAATAATAAATAAAAATTAATGCGATTGAATGGTGAATAATTAACTATAAAGCTCCAAAAAGAATGCATTTTTATAAACTTAAAAGTCAAGTGAAAAAAGTATAGATAAAATGCATTTATAATGTTATATGTTTTATTTATATTGCAACTTCAAAACAAAGTTTTAAAACTTACTTAACTTTAAATTTTAAAGTTCTCATATTTTATTGACAAAATTATTCAAAGAATTATTTATTTTATGAACGATGTTTTCATATATCTAAACATAAACAATCTCAATGATTAATTAGCAATATAAAATAAATGTAGTGCCTATTTCAGACACAAGACACAAGCTGATTGAATTACTTAATTTAAAAAAATAAATGACTCTTAAAAATAATCGGATTTTATGGTAATAACTTCTTAAATAGTGGTTCGTTTTGGAAAAGTTGTTAAAAAAAATGTTTTCATGTCACTCTATTTCCTATATAATATTTTCAGTCAATTTTAGGATAACAATTAAGCTTTTCTGAGTTTTCCAGAACAATCTGGGGCTAAAATCTGATATGAAATCAGACAACCTTGTAGTTTTCGATATATCAACAATGTTTTTAGAGCATATGTACATCGAATGGTCATTCGGGGCCCATTGAGCCGAGCAAAAGAATTCAAACGACCGTGGCTCTCTTTTTTTTTCCACCTGACGCATCAAGATCGCTGGAGATTCGTGGATGAGACATCTGGTGAATATGGCATATCTGGTTATAGATCACGTCCCGGCACGTCTTATTTTGAAGTTTGCTCGAATCGAGCTTCATTTTGGGGGTATTTAAGTTGAATCCATGGGATCGGGGGGCTTCAGTCGAAATGGCAGCGGACAGCAGTTGGCCCAAACTGCTTTTGTGGCTCACAGCACTGGTCGTGCTTATCAACGCAGAGGTGGGTATCTTCAAATATTAAATCTACTCAAAATGCAATGTGTATAATAGACGTTTTGGTATTAGAAACCGACTGAGTCCACGCCCGGCATTGATGAGGAGTTTGATGGCAGCACCAGTCCGGGTCCGCCGCTGGAAGAGACCACCAATCGCATGGCAGCCCACGCGGATGCTGGTGGTGGTGGTGCAGATCAGGAGCAGTATAATGTGATCGATGTGATGGCCTCCAAGCCCAAGAGCGGCCAGACCACAAGGATCGTCACCACCGGCGACGTGGACGAGAAGTTCTGGCTGACGCACCTGGGCGAGGATTTCAAGCATGCCATCCATTTGCAGGTGGGCGGCATCAACGAGGAATACAATCGCCTGATCAACCGGACACAGAACGGTGTCCATGAGGAGGTGCATCATGAGTACTTGCCGGGTGCCGAAAAACCTGGCAGTGTGGCTCCACCTACATCTCGCCAATCTGGTTCAGCTTATCACCATGGCTTCGACAATCGAGCCATGGCCATGAAGCAGCAATATCTGATGCATCAGCAGAGCCAGCAGTCACATCCTTCACAGCAGCGATTTAACTATGCCCAACAACACACACAACACTATGCACAACCTCCGACACAACAACAGTATCAACAACAACAACACCGACAACACACCCATCAATACCCACAACAACAAACAGCACACAGAAACATGTACTCAAAACCACAGAGCTTCGAAAATCCACGGAGCTACATCATCAACTCTAGCGAGGATCAGCTGCATGCCGCCCAATCAAATCCGGCGCCAGTGCGATATTCTGAAGGGGATCGACCCAATCACGAGGAGGAGGGTGACTCCTTTGACTCGCAGCTCAACTTCAAGTCGCCGTTCAACGACTACGGCAGTCGGCCAACTCGAGATCTCACCTATTTACTCTACAGACGGGGTCTCTAAAAGTTAGAACCCAACTATTCTAAACATAAGACTTGCGGTCCCCAGTCCATTGAGTTATATAAATGGTGCTGAGCAACACACACAACACACAACACACTCTCCACACACACACAACACACTCACACAACACACACAAACAACACAAACCACACAAACACTGAGATTTAAGGAATAACTATAACAAATAAAAGGAAACAAATAGATCAAAAGTGGTTGTGTTTGGATTTAAATACGATACGATCAATCGAGCTTATCAAAAAAAAAAAACAAAAACAAAAAACATTTTCAGTGACTAGTGACTCAATATTATAAATAATTACTCAAAAATTTTAAATAACTGTTATTTTTAGAGCCATTCAACAATTCTGCAGAATTTTTTATATTTATTATATATAGAAAATTGAGACGAAAAGCTCCACCTCTTAAAAATGTAATTTATTTTCTGGGTTTTAACTTAATAGTAAGAAAAATAAAATACATTTACATTAAGTTGTATTAAAGATAATGCCTAATGGTTAATAAAAACTATTAACAGATTTTATAAAATTAAAGATACCAGAAGTTGTATATTTAAGTCAATTCCACCAAATAAAGCTATATTAAAGTAAACACTTCATTCAGCAAAAATTTTGATTACAGTAAAGAAGTTTTGTGAATGAGAGAGATAAGATATAGTAAACTCAATGATTTTTTGGAACTCACGCTGTAGTGTGTTTAAAACTGAAGCAGGAATTACCTAAAATATTTTAAATTTCTTTAGAAATGATATAGCTATAAAACCAACACTAATTAAGGTAATGGAATCACAGGTGAAATGGAAGACTGAATAATCTCCGGAACTGCACTACCCATTTATAATTATATTTACATACTATGTATAGGTATTTTATCTATAACATCTTACTCGGAAATGTTTATTAAGTTTATCAGTTCACATACATTTTATATAGAGTATCTCTAGTTTAAGCTATTATCAGTTCAAAGAGAAATTCAAAAATACTGTCAAAAATATCTGACAAAAAAAAAGATTCGAAGAGATCACAAAACGTAGAAGAATATGATCGCAAAGATTGAAATGTATATTTAAGATTTTAAAAATTAAATTTTCTAAAAAAGAAGACAATAAAACGTTAAAAATAATATCAGAAATATTATACGTATTTTCATTTAATGATCAAAAATAACTTTTTCCAAAGAGAAAAACATAACAGAGCTTCCCAAAATGCATAATTTTTAAAGTATTTTTTAGGGCATATCAAAAGCCACTCCCTACGTTTATAAAAAAAAATTCAGAGAAAGGATTAAGCCAGGTGACAATTAAAATTTCATAAAGAAATAATAAAGTATATTAAACATTATGCGATTCATGAGTATTTTCATTAGATGATCAAGAAGATCTTCAATTTGATCAGTAAAATATTATTCCAAAGAGAAGAATATGCAAGCAACCGAAGAAAGTGTATCAATCCAAAAGTATTTCAGAGAGCATATCAAACACGACTCCCCAGAATGCAACCATCCGTATGTATTTCCAAGAGAAGCACACCCACATAGACTGAGATTCGGAACGAGTGGAAACGATCTTTGGATCGATGTCGATCGCTGGAAGAGCTATGATTCAAGCCAAGGCGACCGCCACAAAGAGATGATTGCGACGGGCGGCAAGTTGACACAGACACTGGGGGTTAGGAGTTTTTGTGGATTCAGATGTGGGCACGATGGCGAGACAAAGATGCGGCGCGAAATCGGAAATGGAGATGGATCACGTAGCCGGCCGTGGCGGGCAGCGATTATAGGCGCTATAAAGAGCCGGAGTCATAGCCAGACAGCGAGCAGTAGACGATCCACACGTAAACGGCAACATGCAACTCGGTCTCTGGTTTGGCATTTTAGCCATCGCCGCCGCGCCGGTTAGTAACCAATAGCCACTAGCCATTAGCCAGAAGTCTTAGCCATGGCGGCAACATTGCATCCATCTAACTATCGTGCTTATTTGTTTCTCTCCTTCAGCTGGTGAGCGCTAATTATGGTCCCGCTGGCGGACATGGTCAAGGTGGAAACGGACATGGTCAGTATCTGTCCAATTCCAACAACGGACTCGATGAGTACGTGAACGTGGCGACGGGCGGCAATCAGCCGTCTGCCAATCAGATCGCCTCCCAGGCCGAGATCCAGCCATCGCCGGAGGAAGCTAGCCGTCTGGGAAGCGTCCAGGCGCAACTCCAGGCCCTGAATGCCGATCCCAACTATCAGAAGCTGAAGAACTCCGAGGATATTGCCGATTCGCTGGCGGAGACCAATCTGGCCAGCAACATTCGTCAGGGCAAGATCAAGGTGGTGTCGCCGCAGTTCGTGGATCAGCATCTGTTCCGCTCCCTGCTGGTGCCGTCGGGTCACAACAACCACCAGGTGATCGCCACCCAGCCCCTGCCCCCCATCATTGTCCACCAGCCGGGTGCACCGCCGGCCTATGTGAACAGCGGCCCACCGACTGTGGTGCGCGGCAATCCGGTCATCTACAAGATCAAGCCCTCGGTGATCTATCAGCAGGAGGTGATCAACAAGGTGCCCACTCCGCTGAGCCTCAATCCCGTCTACGTGAAGGTCTACAAGCCGGGCAAGAAGATCGAGGCCCCACTGTCGCCAGTGGTGGCCCCCGTCTACAGCCAGCCCCAGGGCTATGGTAGTGCCGGATCGGCCGCCTCCTCGGCCGGTGCCGCGCCGTCCGCCGATGGCAATGGCTACGGCAACGAGGCTCCACTGTACAACAGCCCCGCGCCCTACGGCCAGCCCAACTACTAGATGGGCTCCTCCCCCTTCTCATCCTCCTTCTCAGCTGCGACAGCTGGTTTAATTTAAATTTCTGTTTTTTTTTTTCTTTGCCGACGACCGCTGAGTGCAAATAAAAGATGAAAAAATTACTTAAAACGTAAACGATTCGTGGAAATTATTTTGCTTGGGGGTTGCAAAGTGTTTACAAAGCGCTATTATTCAGGCATGTCATCATTAATATATGTGGCAACATAAAGACGCAAATCTAAACTTATTCAAGGCTTAACATAAAGTTTAGACAGCCTAGCTATATTATTACTTGTCATAAAAAATACATTAATCTACCTATCAAGGCCTAACTCGAAGTAAGAGTATAAATTATTTAATCATATTTTCAACCTTCTAATCTTATTCGGAGTAAGAACTTTTCCAAGTATTTCAAAAAACGAAAAACAGTGTGATTTTCATAAGTATAACAACGCAAATATAGGTATTCGCACTAAAGAGGTTAAGTTATGGATCCAGAAGTTAGGGTCATTGTCACATTTCTGCAATATTCATTATAATAATGACTAAATAAGATGACTCACTTCGCGCCAGTTTTCACACTAAAAACTTCTTTGTTTTAACCAAAAACTGTGTAAAAATTTTATAGGATATACGGAAGTTCATATGAAATGCACCATTGTTAATTGCAAAATTGTTTATAAGACTATTGAGAACATTAACTAGTCTTATGTTTTTATTACAAAAACTATCATTTCAATCTGTAGGGTATTTCAAAAAATATATCCTATAGATACAAGCAGTACCTGTTACATATTTTACTAAAGATAATTTAATAGTTATTAAATATCAATATCTTGAATGAAATTATGGACTCTTTAGGTCTTATTATAAAAAAACTGTTATTAATTAAATTTTTAAATGATAAAAACACTAAGCCATTAACATAAGCTTCTAGAATACTAGTTAATCTTTATTGTGCTTTTATTTTAATGAGTTCTTTGTCCGAGAAATCTTTTAGGCCTAAACGCGAAAGTAAATTTCTTAATAATAAAAATGTATTAATAATATTTTTGATTGTTTTATTTGAAATGTTTCGTTTTTTTGTATTGGCGAAGTATCAAATCCTGTTTGTATAAATATTAATATATTTCACTATTTAATAAGCAAGCAAACTGTCAAAATGAAGGCTTTAAGTTTTTATATATAGGTTTTACATTTACATTTACATTTTAAATTTCATGGTTTTTCATAGCCAACTGCTTATTGAGATGCGAATCTTTGCATATCATTTTTCCTATCCATTCCAATTCACTACTCGGTTTCTCACTTTCTAAAGAATCACCTTGATATCTTATCAAAAAGGGAACCACATTAACACACATTAAGCATTAAAAACCTTGCTAAATTCTAGGATTTTTCATAGCCAACTGCTTATTGAGATGCGAATCTTTGGATATCATTTTGGCTATCCATTCCAATTCAACCACTCGATTTCTCTCTTTCTGACTGACTCCCGGGTCTTATGTCTGCCAATGCGGAACTATTTTCGCTATCTGCACAGACGTTCGGACCTCGATATGCGGTGGAGATTCAAAGCCCGGCTGTTGATTTCGATGCTGTTCGCTAGGTTTGTTGTTCTTGCAATGGGCACTGGTCGGCCAACGGGGGTTTTTGGGCTGTGGCTGCTACTTCTACGTAAGTGGAAGAGACGCCGTGATATGCGCTGGCCGCAATGCGATGCGATGCGATGCGATGCGTGCGATCTATCAACATTTGACCATGTTTCGCTCGCATCGCGTGGGTCCGGAGCGGAACAGCCGGCACCAGAGTCGCCATCAATGCAAATGTCACGTAGCCGGAGCCGGAGACGCGCCCGGAGCATATTTAAAGTAGTCGGCCACCACTGGAGGGCAGCAGAAGACAGCAGACAGTCCAAGCGGGAGCACACCAGAGGCCCAAGAGCAACTGGAACTGCAAGACTGGGAGACAAGATGACGAGATCGACCTACATTTGGGCGCTAGCCGCCTGCCTCATCGTAAGTGTTAACGCTCGAAATCTTAGGATTATACTCAGAAGAGTTCTCAAAGTCTCCTCTTGTGTTGTCCCAGTATTGGGATTATTTCAAGATCCATGGAGATTTGGTTTAATGTCACTTTACAACAATGACAAACTTCATCCTTTATTGTTTCCAACATAAAAACTTATTTTCGAAAGAAAATTTGGTAACGAAATATTATTTTACCAGCCTTTATATGATTTCATAATCTATATGAAAATTTCTTCACAAGTAAATTTCCTATTTACCATTAACACTTCTTAGAAACTCAGAAGATTTTGGTGCCATTATATATCACTAATATATGATTCTCATATTGTATAGGGTTTTGAAAACCATAGTAAAAGAAAACTGTAGAAGAGATTTTAAAATTTTTCAAAGAAATATTTAATAAGCAAAAGAAAATAAAGGAGTGCCAATTATAACCCATTTCCCTCTCGTTTTGCAGGCCTGTGCGAGCGCCAATTACGGCGCTTCCCAGGGCTATGGACCCGGATCCGGTGGCCATAGCGGTGGCTCCGATGGCGGTGCCGATGCCGCCTCGGCGGCCGCAGCTGCTGCCGGTGGTGCCGGCGGAGCTGGTGGCGAGTACAGTGGTGCTGGCGCCAGTGCCGGTGCTCTGGAATCCGGAGCCGATGCCGCCGGTGTGGCCCAGGCTGGCCAGAGCAGCTACGGCTCCGATCAGAACATCCCGTACAAGGCGGTGAACACCAAGGGCAACACCCTCACCTCGTCGATCACCTATCCGCAGAACAAGGGCGAGATCCTGATCCATCGCCCCGCGCCCATCATTGTCAAGCGTCCGCCCACCAAGGTGCTGGTCAACCATCCCCCACTGGTGGTGAAGCCCGCGCCCGTGGTGCTGCACAAGCCTCCAGCAATCGTGCTGCGCAAGGTCTACGTCAAGCACCACCCACGTCGCGTCAAGGTTGAGCCCGTGTTCGTCAATGTGGTGAAGCCGCCAGCAGAGAAGTACTTTGTGAACGAGAACAAGCAGGGCTACGGACAGGGATCGCAGTCCCATGGACATGGCGGACACGCTGGACACGGTGGACACGGACACGGTGCCGGTCCCCACGGTGGTGCCCATGACGGTGGTCGTGCCCTGCCCGCCTACGCTTCGGGAGCTGACTCCGCCGCCGCCAGTGCTGGCTACCAGCTGCTCCAGAGCGGCAACCAGGGTCTCTCCGCCCTGGCCAACATCGCCGGCGAGGGTCAATATGCACCCGCCGCACCCAGCCATGGACATCAGCACTATAGCGCCGGTCCAGCCGGACATGGTGGCTATGCTCCTTCCTCTTATTAAAGAAGAAAAGAAAAGGATTGAGTGACTGCAGCGGCTACGGAATCTCCTGAAGCGGTTGTCCAGTCACTTGGTTATCCGGCTGATTAGTTACTATGTTTTAGAAACAAACAAAAAAAAAAAACAAAAAACACTGCCTGATCGCCCAATGCCCATGCCTACGCCCACGCCCACGCCCACCCATGCACACAAATCCGCATCCAAATCCACCCACCCATTCAATGGCCAAGGGGGCGTGGCACTCAGGTTTCTTTGCAAGCAAATAAAATATTTGAAAAAAAAAAAATCATTCTCAAATTAATGGTTATTTTCAAGGGTTTTTATAAGTCATTACAGTGCAGCTAGATATATACCCTATAAGGAGGTATTGACACTTTCGATTTTTGATTATATTTGATCTTCTTTTTACAACCAAGGAAAGTTGATTATAAGAGATTTATATACTTCTTTAGAACAATTTCGACTTTACCATGTTAGAACCATGGAAAGTTGATTATAAGAGATCAAAACACCTTAAATTTTTAATATTAAAAACAAAAATTTGCTATATAAAATATACGTTTTTTTTAAATATAAAAAGCATATGGCGGATCTTGAGAGAAGTTTGGAAATATTCAAAAGTTCTAGGCACAATAAACAACTATATAATACACAAGGTATAAATAAACTCGTTTACAAGTCGTAACTTATCATAAAAATTATAAATAAATATCGAATAAATGAAGGATATTTAGAAAAAAAAAATATCGAAAGAAATATCATATTTGACTCACCGGCAAATGTTTTCCTTCAGTGCCAGTTAAGTCGACAAATGCGAGTTCGAGAGCTTGAGGTTACCAAAAAGTGTCGCCTATAATCACACAAATTGGGAGTGCGAGCTGTCATTACAGCCATCGGTTGTCCTTCCCATTGTTCTGTTCAATCAACTTGAGTCCCACGCAACATTCAATAACAAACAAACAGCAACAACAGCGATAATAATGGGTATTGCGAAGAAGCGATCGCTTGATGACAGGTGAAATCGCAAAGTAGGTCGCCAGTGCCGCCCATTTGGCAGTTTGAAAATTCAGCATAAAAATGCGACACTTCTGCACAGCGATTTCAGTCTGTAAGCAGAAATAAATTGAGAGCATTAATAAAATAACCAAGTAAACAGAAATAATAAAGCCAACAGAGAAACGAATCGGTTCCAAGTTCAAAGCTTTTGGGCACAGTTTAAAAAGTAAAAACAAAAAAAAAAAAGTAAAGTGCGAAATGACTCAAACGGGCTTCCTTATGATGGTTCTGTGTTTTGCACTCCTCGCATTCTGTTCCGGACAAGTAAATACCTGGAATTGTTCTTTAAAAATAAACAAAACAAATAAAAAATAAATTCTAATGCAGGGTATCACAGAAAATCCTTATGACCGAAATTGTAATAAAAATATATATTGTTTGTTTGAAGATTCTTGAAAAACATCCCGCGCAGGTACGTTTACAAGAAAACAACTTAACAATTCTGCACAAATAATTATATAAACATTGTGACACTGAAACAGGGTTTCTGTGATACCATAGCTTGCTCATTATATACATAAGTAAGCCATACAAAGCTTCTTAACTATTTTTTAAAGTGTTTAGTACAGTGTGATAGTATTTTAAAAATTAAACTATTTAAATAAGCTAACCTTTTTAATGTTAGCTATACATTAGCGGTGCGTAAACAAATAAATAATGTATTTATTTTCCTTTCTTTCAATTAGCCATCCTATAGAAGGTCGACAGAAGCCAGCATGGATGCCCTGCACACCTTAACTCATCTTTTATTTAGCGTTATTGATAGTTTTAACTTGGGTTAGTTTTAATAATTCGTGGCAGATAAATTGGACACTATGAATTTCCAAATTATTTTTTTTTTTTTTTTTTTTTTTTTGATGTTACTAAGCACCAGTTTGTTTTAGGTGTAGTATTTTGAAATGTAAACCATGCAATAAATAAAATGACTATGATTAAAACTAGTTTTTTTTGCTTTGACTAGGAACATCAAAGACAACAAGGCAACAATAAAATCATGAAAATAAAGGATATTATGTCAGTTTTCTTATATAAACAAAGCAATCCACACATTTTGCATTTACAATCTGAAATCGCGCCGAAAGACGAGAATACCACGTACTTAAATGCAGCACTTGCAAGTCTTTCGCGTATTTTGTCTTTGCGTTACACTCGAATCTTGTTTTATTTATGGTTAATTTTCTGGAACACTTTACATGGGTGAGTCTCAAGCCGATCAGCGAGTTTATAAATATATAGGAGTATATATATAGAGTAAGTGTTAGTTGTAAGGTTTTTAAATAAATCATATAAATAGGTTGTTCTTGGGTTTCTTGCAGGCTACACCTTTACCGACTTTAGAGCAAGCGTTAAAAAAAATCGCATAAAATTACGTTGAATTACAAGTTTAAAATGAAGTTAAGTTGACATTTGCGTTAAGTTATGCAATCGATAGTTGTACAGAAGCTGAGTGGTAAATGGAGGAGCAGGTGGCATATAAAAAGTTGACTACAAATTTAAAAGTGCGATTAAATTTTAAAAGTCGTTGGTTGGAAGTGAATGAAATGGAATGCACTCGATGGGTAAGGCCTCTCCCTCTCTCTCTTTGAAATGATCTGATATTTTCCCCGTTTTTAGTGATGACGCGGTGCAGCATAGACGGCTGCTGGCTGGGATTGGATAGGCATGGGCACCGGTGCCTGCTGTCGCTGTTGCTGAGGCTGCGGCTGTGCCAGCGGCTCCATGTTAAAGTTGTTGATCACCTCGTAGGGGGCCACAAGAGGAGCTCCAATGCCCCAGGCATAGGGATTCTGGAAAATAAGTTCATTTAAAAGGCTTCTACAAATAAAGCGAAAACAAGAACAAATTTTCAGATAAAAAAAACGTTTTAAATTACTTTTTAAGCCGTGTTTCAAGTTGCCCTTTAACATATTGAACTATTCAAAAAAATACAAGAATAAACTAAAACCGACTAATAATGATCAATTCAAGATATTAAGTCAAGATAAAGTTATAAATTAAACGATTAATTTTATTGGTTTTTATTGGCCTGGTTATAGATTTCTATAACACAACTTTCATCGTCAGAATATTTCCAGTTTCAAAGTCTAAAGCTTTATTCCGGTAGCAGACAAAAATGACAAATAATTGCTAGCCTATTGCTATAAATAATAACCTAAAAACAAATATAGATGTATACAAATGAGTGCTGTTCTCATACCTGTCCTGGTGTTGTTCCTGGTAACTGAGGCGGTCCCGCTTTGTGGAAAAATATCGGCGGCGGCGGCGGTTGGAGCAGCCGCGGCGGCGACATCAAATGATGCGGAGGGGGCGATGTGTAGAAACTAAATTGACTGCCATTCGAGCTGGGCGAGGGGGTGGGCGTGGGCAGAAAGGCCGCTGGCCCCAACTGATCCTTTAGGTCATGCAGCTGCTCCGGGCGTTTACCGCGACCTTTGCCCATAATCATAGTGCGCTTGGAGTAGGCGGCTTTCTCGAGCGGCGGCGACTGCTGCTCCGCAGCATTTGCCGCCTCTGGCGAAGAAGGCGGAGTGGCCTCGGCCGCCAAAAGGTCCTCTCCGGTGCCGCCGCCTCTTCCCGGCTGTTGGTCCGTGTTGTTCTGATGATTGTATGCCATTATCGATAGATCCTCAGGCGGCGCTTGATGGGCCATACGCCAATGCATGTCCACGCCCATGTTGTAGAAGTATCTCAAAGTGCTCACATCCACTGGCAAATCCTCACCGTTCAGGTGCAGGGAACGACGTGGTTCTCCGACCCCGGCAACATTTAGCGGTGGCGGAGGAAGAGGCATAAAGGGGTGTGCACCCGGCATGGCAAGAGCTCCCGGTGGTGGCGGACCATAACCACCGAAGGGCATGTAAACACAGCCCTCGGCTGACGGGGGATGCGGTGTTCCCGGCATGGGAAATTGAAACTCCTCGGAAAGCGCCAGCGGAGACGAGGGCCACGGTGGAGGAGCCTGACTGGGGCGACCCGCCAACAGGGGCAAATAGTTCATATATTGAGCGGGCGGTGGAGCAGCTGAAACTGCAGTCTCTTGGTTTTGGTTGGAATTCGATTTCTGTCCCTGAGCCCTCTGTTCCTTTGAACGCTGCTGCTGCTGCTGCTGCTGCTGCTGCTGTTTCTGTGGCTGCTCCTCCAAATCCGTCTGCTCCTCAACCGGATTCTGGTTTTGCTGATCAGGATCCCGATGATCGGCCTGCTGCTCCTCCTGGTGGTGGGCCTCTTGATAGCAATTCTCCAAGGGTATGTAGCCCTGCATCGGCATCAAATCACACTTGCTGGGCTCAAAGTATTGCCCCATTTCGAACACCTTGTTCTTCTTCCATTTCGAAATCTTGTTGGCTTTGCCGACAAACTTGGGCAAATGGACTCGATTCATCTGGCGCTGATAGCGGTAGGGCAACGCCCACGGACGGTACTCTTCTGGCGGCAAGGGATGCAGCGACTCGTAGGGAACCTGGGCCAGCAAGAGATGTCCATGTTAGTAAGGTTTTCTTTTTTATGTAACAAGGTGCTTATCAGCTAACACGAAAGAAAGACTAGCTTCGGATACCGAAACTGAAGGGCACCCTTGCAGATTAAGATTGATATTTTCAGAAATATAATCAAACACACATATTTACAGCAAACAAATTGAATCTAAGAAAATAGTTTTCTAAAAAATATAAATCCACTCTCAAATATTTCAGAAATAAAATCATAATCATGTTAAATAAATTATGACATATGGATATTGAAACAACGTAATTCAACTCGAAATTCAAGAATTTCTGAAGTTTTTGTTTTAACTACAATACAAAATATTAATATTAATGCTATCAAATTTGATTTTAAATAATAAATAAATAAATATGCAGCTCTGCAAGGGCGGGTATACATTAAAAACAGGTAAGAAAAGCGGTACCCATAGCTTTTGGCCTAACATCTCGGCAAAGACGACGCAGGTGGTCTTGTCTTTGGAGATGCTTTGAATGTGGCACGTGTACATCTCCGATTCGTACTCCAATTCCACCTTGCACTTTGCGCCAACCTGGAAAACAAATCACACGGCAACGAGACGAGCAAGAATAAAAGCTGGACGTATACTAAAGCGTAAAGTTTGGCGAGTATGAAGATGGAAATGAAAGTGTTTAAAGCTTGATGGGTTGACATGAAACATGCGTATGTGTGCTTAACGATTATTAAAATTCCACCCGAGTTTACCTTAAAGTTATAGTCATTGACGTAGACATTATAACGCTTGGCCTCCTTGCGCATATCGTTCCAGCAATCAAATTCGATATTCCGATACATAAACGGGTCCATTGACTTGGCCACCTTGTAGGGAAACGGTGTGATGCCTGAAAATCAAAAGTGCAAACCATTAGAAAACTGTAATAAGGATCTTGAAACGGTCAAAATAAAATAAATTGTATATTTTATAGGGTATACTGACCATCATACAAAAGTTGGCGCACACAGGACTCCAATCGGTTGGGACACATGGGCAGATGATCGTTTGATTCGTGGCCACCAGTGCCAGGTAGTTTCCGATCCTCCTGTTGTTTCGATTCCCGTCGGCTTGTCTTTCGACTATTATTGCTCTGAATGCCACAGGTGCTGTGGAAATTGCACAGCATAAAATTCTCCAAAATGCAGTTGGTGTTCTCCGGCAGATCAAGCGCGAAAGTGTGACCATCGGAGCACTGAATGCCAATCATATAGCCCTGGTCATTGAACTGCACATCGGACTTATCCCAATCGAAAGAGTGTGGATGCAACATGATCTCCACGGCGAACGATACGTCGGGCAGTTTGAACAGCTGCTGGTATAGCAACTTAAAGCTGATCGCTGGTAAATATACAAAGTACCATATAAAGCAGCTAATTTATATAAATAGGCAACCACCTACATTGACAAATCGCGGCAGTTTCTATATAGTTTACTTCAAAGACCGAATCAAAGTGATTCTCGTTGTTAAAAAAGACCCGAAAGTTTTCCGGATAGCGTCGATTGAAAATCACACTGGTTCCCATGTTGTAGGGCTCATACAGAATCACATTGCGTCTGGGAATATGTAAGGCAATAAGGAAAGTTTAGAGTTTGCACTAGTTTTTTAATGTTATAACCATATTTTTTTTAGGCTTACCGATACAGGCAGGACATAGCGCGCAGTTCTGTCATGGTTCCATAGGTCTTGGGCTTGGACATGTCCTGCATGTAGCTATCAAAATCACCTGGGATGTCCTGCAGAATATAAAATTAGAATAAGTCGAAGCTAATATGGGGCAGTCTAATAAACTTAAATAATATATATGTATTCTATAGAGATTTCTCTATAACCAACAAAACAAGTTTACATTCAGTAAAGAGTTTTCTTGCAATTTCGAAGGATTTGTGTAAATGTGGTTTTGTTGAGGTTGTATGTAATTTTCCTTTTTCTTTTGAAGTTTATAAATATTCGACTTTTTCCCATAGATTGCCTGTTAGGGAAAAATACGAATGTGGGTGGAATCGCTACCTTCTCGAATATGCGTCGTTTTAGGGTCATGAACCGGACGCATTCCAGTCGAATTTCATAGTGCAACATCTGGGTGTCGTACATCTGCTCGGCGATCACCCGAAACAAACTGGAGGCGTCCCGGGCCGTGTGCTTCCGGTAGAGACCGCGGCTTTCCAAGTACTGATCGTACGGATCCGGGGCCTGTCTGCTGCCGGACGTAATAGGGCGCTGCGCTTGCATGTCCATGGCGACTTCTAAAAAAAACCATAAATACATAAGCTAACATTCCAACACGATTTTAGGTTACGGGAAGTCCCATTTTCCCTACGCCCATCCAGTCGCAGTTTCTTTTGGCACGAGAGTCAAATAACTAACTAGAACCAAATTTAACTATAGTATTCCATTGCTTCAAGTCAAATTCTAAGCAATATTTTAATTTTTTCAAGGGATCGGTATCCCCACAGATTAGAGCGAGATAGCCATATTGAAGATCAAATTGAAAATGGCGGAGTTCTAGGCATAACGAAGACAAAACAAAGGTGAAAAGCAATAGGTAACGCTGACAAAGAAAACTTAAAAATTTGTTTATAATTTATTAAATCTGGCAGAATCTTCTTTTTCGTCGACTTTACGTAAAAACGTATTAATACGATATTAAATAATAGAACATTTTTTCGACTTAACTGGTATTCTGGTTTCTTCCGTCCACCGATTTGTCACTCAAATAATCAATAACTTATGTATATTAGTTCTGCAGCACCCGCACTTAGCACCGTTACAAAGAAAAGAAATCAAGCAAATGGCAATGATCTTACCTTCCAGGAAATAGGAACCGAGTGTGAGAGAAGAAGCTTCCAGTGGTTGGAAGGATGTTACAAAAGGGAATAGAACAATAGGGATGTGAACACCGTGGCAGATCACAAGTTTAATGCATAATTATTTTAAGTTAATAAGGTTAATTAAGAAATAATTAACAAAAAAACAAGTGGATTCAAATACATAAGATTACGAGAACATATCTTTAGACGAGCTTTTATTAGGAATATCAAATCCAATACATTTATAATAAAACGTTACAAAACTGAGATACAAATTAAAACTTGTAATCTAAAATTCTCTTTGGAACACAAGAATATTTAAATTTAAAAAGCAATGTTTTTGCGGCAAGAAAACTCCCCTACCGCTGTCTATCGATGACAGCGATAGCCGCATCATCTGTTCCGTGTCATCCCTAAAAGTGCCAGACATGTTTCGCAGCATTGCTGTTGTTGTTGGCCCTTTTACAAGGGGGTGGAAAATGACGCTTTCCACACGACGCGTTTTTGTTGTTGCCTGTGGCGGCTCGTCGCAGTTCGAAATTGAGAGTCAATGAAGCCAGGAGCAAACTTCCAGTTCGCGCTGTTACCGCGACAAAAGTTGTCTGGAAGAGATGTGAGTGTGTGAGTGTGTGTCTTCTGTTCAGTTCTTTTTTTTTTTGTGTTAAGTTCCGATATTTGTTTATTGTTAGTTAATGTCGTTATTTGGTTATCTTGCGAGTGTGTAAACGAAACGACTATGATTTCTGTTCTCTCTCGGTGTTTCATCTACTTTCCGCCATTGCCTTGTGTTTTTCCTCCTGCCAACCGACAAGTAAAAACCAGAATATATAATAATCACTCATTAACAAAAACAACAACACGTGGGCTCAACTACACAAGCACAGGCACGCAACGAACGGGATGGGTCCGTTATGAAATTGGAAGGAGTGCGCATAAGGGAGGAGAAAAATGTGCAGTTATTTTATTTCCATGCCGTAAAAATCAATAGGAGTGACAAAGCACGTGTGCCAAGGCAAATCGATAAACCGTTAATCAAGTTTGTTGAACGCGTGTCGTTCCATCTTGCTCCTCCACGCGCTTTGTTTGCGCCCCCTCTCTTTCCCACGCTCGCGTGAATGAAATTTGTTGGTCCCTTCCCTTTCTCTAGTTCCACGATTTTCGATTAACTGGGTCAAAACTTGCCTCTGACATAAATATTATTTTTTTCGTGATATTCGTGATATTGGTTTGGCAGGTGTCGAGGTCAATGTCACGGTCTCGTTCGCAAAGTCGTCTGCTGACCTTCGAACCTTGCCTCGTTTTTGCCGACAATTAATTGATTAAATCCGGCCAATATATAGATGGCCGTCTTATCAATATACCCCTTATACAACTATCCTGTTCTCGCGCCTATCTTATCGCCAAAAAGTGGGGCCTGAAACCGAAGTTGCCGGGTTTCTAGATAAGTGCTCCATTAGCCCCGTCTCACTCGCTCGCTAGTCTTGACATGTGTCGCTCAAACGCGACTTAACGCTTCATAAGATAAAAATAAGCGTTCTTGTTTCCGAAAACCCTTCAATTCTATTCTATTGAATTAAACTTAAATTTGTTGTGACTTTCAATATACTTTTCCAAATTAAAAACTATTCTGTTTGTAGAATTTCGCAATAGCCAAACGTGGCCTACGGATCAATGCTTTTGAGCTAAAATTAGGTGAATTGAACATTATTGAAAGTTTTCAGATATTTATCTAATTTGTTTTTCAGAATATACCCTTCAAAATTAAACAAATTGTTATATATATTAACATTTTGGATTACCTTTGTTCTTAAAATAATTTTCCAAAAACTAGTTTTATATAGCAGTTAATAAAAACGTAGGGCTGTTCTTGGTTACGGTTTAAATATATACTCTTAACATGTAAAATATAGATTTTTCTAGAATAGGTAAACGCAATTTCGAGAGTTTTCGAAATTCGGAACCACTCGACAGTTTCCTTCTGCTCTTTTTCTCTGATGCGATTGTTTGCCGGTCGACGGCAAAGTATTTCTGTTTGCTGCTTTTAGTTGCCTTTGAACATTTTAGCTTGACGCGTCTTCGCTGAAAAAAGAGGAAAAAGGTAAAGAATAGAGCAGAAGCATCAGCCCAAACAAAACAAAGAGAATTCGCTGACCAAGAGAACCATTTGCCAAATGTGAATTGTGCATGTGAAATATCTTTTTTTGTTTGGCTGATAACCGGTTCGGGTTATTTTATTATCTCCACTCGGTTGAACCGCACACAGTGGTGTACCGAAAAATTTGGATCACTCAACTCTCAGTAAAGTGCCTGTTATTCGGACAACGAATGTGTTTATAGGGCAGCACTATATTTTGTAGACTAGTAAACAATTTTTGATAGTATACTCGACTTTCTATAGCCCGAACATATCGGCCACAAAAATATAGGTTTATATAAAACCTTTGAATTTTCAGAGTTAAAAAGTTTCAATTTATAAAAAAATGTTAATTTCTCTTTATAAAAATTTTTATTTATTGGTACTAAAGCTTTAATAGTTTCGCATTTAAAAAAAAATTACTAAGACTTTTAAGAACTTGGTTGCATGCTTAGACATATTAGATCTTTTTGAGCTAAATTAATTGAGTATAAATTTAATAAACCTATATATAACTATTATATAATAACAGCTTGAAAATTTCAATACCCTCCTGTGATTTACTTAAAAATAAATGTTGCGTACTTAAAAATAAAGTGTATTGCTGCCTTAAAAAACAAAATTTTTTTTTTTCGATTTGATAATTTTGCTTTACTTGAATTTGTGCTTTTCTTTTGGTTTTCTTTTTCTTTTCACATATTGCTTTGCCAATCGAATCGGTAAAATACCACTTGCCACTTGTTGTTGTGCCAGTCGCAAGATGCAGCCGATTTACAGTAGCGGCACCAACAGTGGCGGCGAGAAAAATGAGACCCGCATGCGCCGCAGGCCCATACGTAAGCTATTTTTGTCACTTAAACCGCCTTGTTTTTGAGTTTTCCCCCGACTAACATTTTCCCCCTGCTTCTTAATATTTGTTTTTTTTTTTAACGATTCTTATTAATGTTATGTTACCTTTATAACTTATGCTTACCTACAATAGCAAGGTCGTTCTAATAATAATCAATAACACGACTTTGATTTAACGTTCTGTAAAACAATCTAATTTATAAAAACTAACTTCTGTATTTATTATAAAAAATTAAAGTAAACGACTACAGATAAAAAGTATTTGGTATTTTGGTAGTACTTTAAAGTTTCCCAATTTAAATGCTTGAAACTGAAATTTACACAGCTGCCACTGTGAAATGTAATTTTATTCGCTACTTATTTTATAAACATTCCTAATGGCCTCTCTCTTTGTTTGTCCCTTTTGTTTTACTTAAGTTTATTTTAGTTTATTTGGTTTCGCTTTGACATCTTTTATTGCTTTTCTCATAATTTGCTGCACGCTATTTTTAGAGCTATGTAAAATGCATTTCGCAGCAATTAGTTTAATGCAAAGTATTAATATTTGTTTGTTGGATTTTTACACTAATTGCATTATGCTAACAATTGGTTTTATTTACGTGACCCTGAAAAGCAAAGTTTAAGGCCAGCGGCAAGCAGTGCGGCATTCGCCCCGTACCGCTGCACTGCTTAGCCCACCTAGCTTAGATATAACTTCTTGGTTGAGTTGGTCCGACTTCACTTGACTCCCGACTTACTGCCATTTGTTTATTTTGTGTAAACACGCCAGCGGTTATTTTTTTGTGTTTGTGCAATCGCCAGTTCGGCTGCAAGTGCAATTTGCAATGGCACTTGCAGTTGCACTTTCATTGCCATTGCCAGATGACGAGGCTTAACGGTTCAGCGCCGTCAGCTGTTTATGTGGAGTTTAATCGATTGCATGAAAAGCACAGTAGAGGTCAACCGCATAGCATCGCCAACTTAAGGGGTTTTTGATTAGATCAACTAACATTGAGCTTCATTTCTATAAGGCTGAATAAGCCATGCTAATAATTTCTGAAGATAAAACGAAGTAATAAGCTCACCTAAAAAATGTTATTATTAACAAGATTCTTACTTTATAATATTTGTATTTTATTTTAAGACATCATTTTTTTACAACTTAGAAGAAATACCATAATATTCTCTGCGAACGTTTTTCATATTTATTTAATAACCTACAATTAAATCCCGCAGCGGTGGTAATAACTTGAAGTATTTGAAGCCATTATTTATGAGCTAATATCTCGACCGAAGCTGTATGGACAAAGCACGTCATTCGTGCATTGGGCAACATAATCGATATCTTCTATCGCTTATGACTTACCCAATGAATCGTGAATTGAATAACTTAACCTAGTAACATTTAGTTTGATGTTGTTGAGGCTTTTGTTTACGGCATTGTTTACAAACATTTTCAGTCCAGTTGCAGTTGCATTCGTTTTATATTTATTTATTTTCATTGCCGTTGTCGGCTTCCCTTCTCACCTTTTTTTTTTAGAGGCAGCAGCGCATAACGGCTTTTTGAGTGCCCCGCGCATGAGCATTTAATCTTTTTCGATTTATCATTGTTTTTACTGTCTTTGTTTACCCTATTTGAGTGGTTTTTGGCCATTTCGATCTTTGGCTCAAGGGCTTACACGCGCCCACCTCCAAAGATACTGTTGTGCTCATATTTATAGGGCTACAATTAGTTCAATATATAATTTTATAATCAGTAAAAATTATTGAAATTAATTAAATTCAGGGCACCCTATCTTAATGGACCTCAAGCTCTTAACTTTATTTATTTGTAACATTATGACATGAATATTTAACAGTCAAATTTATTTTAAGTTCTCAGTGCTATTATTGGTATCTCGTCTGTATATTCAGGGGTGCTCAAATTGAGCAGCATTTTGCGTAGGTGTCAAGAGCTTTCTAGACCCAAAAGCGCTCGTTATGACGTCAGTG